TTATATCTCAATAATAAATGCATTAACCTATTTAATTTATGTTTATATTTTCTACCCTATATAATTATATGCTGATTATACAATTATAGAAAATACATGCATACTTTGCACGATTATGCTGTTAATGAAATAATGCCCGCAGTAGAGTTCTGCATGTGTGTATGTATGCATGTTTATGAAAATACAGCCACAGTTGGTTGTGTCAGAGTTGTCCAGAGCTAGTTTGGCTCCATGTGCAGTGAGGTGTGCTGCTCGAGCAGACAGTGGCTCAGTGGAGGAGTGTGTTTGTTGTTATTGTTATCACCTGTGGCTGAATCTAGTTGTATTACAAAATGGTTTCGGCTTTATTATAAAGCACCTCTGATAAGGATGTTCATACAACCTGATTTGGTGCTCGACTGACTCAGCTCCCTGCCCCACGTTTTGATGCACTGTGTGAGGTGCTCAGACCTGCCCCAACGGGGCACCTTGGAGCCCCTTACAACTGTGCAGCACAGGTTGGGCTGCTGGACCTGAATCTGCCCATGCCTCTGTTGGTTTTAGGACAGGTGTTTCATTGTGTGTATGCAGCCTCAAAGTAGCCAGGTACCATTCCAAGGCAGCACTACATGTCACTGTGTGAGCATGCAAGGGATGGGGCAAATTCATGTCACGGCATGCGATGCTGAAGTGCTCGGCTGCAAATTCAGTGAGTACAATTGCAGTTGGCTCCCGTACAACCCTCTGGTCTGAGTGCTCTCATGCTTGCTGCGGCTTCCTAGTCACTGGTTTAATACAGATGAATAAACAAACAAGTAGCAGCCATTGATAGCATCAGCATCTGTGTTTGCACTGATGGTGAGCGAAGCGATTCACCCAAGCTAACAGAATAAAACTGCGTCAGAGCTGGGGACAGGATGCCTCCCTCCCACCTGCCTTCCCTGGGCATCAGCTGCTTCCTGCATAGCTTGAGAGAGAAGAAAGTTCTGTTCAGTTGAGTAAATACACCATGGCCGTGCCTCTTCCATACTGTACAGGCCTTGCAGCCAAAGGGTTAAAAAGAAATGAGTGCATTTGGCATGCTCTGTGGAGTTCCCAAAGTCTGAACATGAATGACCAAATTGCTTTTACTTTTTAAATTAAGCCCTCTGTCTGTGTGCATGCAGCTAACACTGTTGTTCCATTAAATGAAAGAATTTGTTCCCCCTCGTATTCTTAATAGGGTAAGACCCTGCAGTTCCGTCTCACAACTTTACTGACACAAGATCTTATTAAAAGCAATCCTCCCCCTCTCCTCCTTGAAATCTGAGCTTCTGATAGCTTCATCCACACTGTGTTTATTTTATATACACAGCTCTGCAGCTGCTGCTTCCTTGTTCTCTAATAAATGACAGTGTAACTGTTGCATCCACTAAAAAAAAGTAAATAAAATTAAATGGGGAAGAACAATACATCTCTGGCAGAGAATAGGAAATCTTTTAAGGCATGTATCTAAATTGTACGGCCTGATCTTAATTGTGAGGATAATTCTTTCTTATTTCAAGCAACTTGGAACATGACAGAAAATGCACACTCTTGGCAGCACATCCAGAAAGATTTCTTCGGAAACAATGGAGAGAATTCTCCTGAACTGGAAAGAGATTGAAGCTTCCTTACTAGGTTAACAGTACTATACTCTGTGATGAAAGAATGGCAGAATGTGCTAGAATCTATTCGGTTGGCTTGGAAGACTTTTGCAGCACAAACAATACGGACGAGGCCCAGCAGTGGGTGTTACATGGCAGGACAGCAGTATGAAGCGTCACCATTAGCAGTGAGGAGCCCATGAGCAGCACCCTCTGGACAGCTCTGTGTCTTGCTCTGCAGAAGGACTGAGAGCAGGAACTTTTCCCTCATCCTTCCAAGCAGGTGAGCCCAGCTGAGGCTACGCTGGGCTGCTGCCACCAATGTATGGCTCCTTCTGGGCTCCAGGCCACTGCCCTGCTGTTATCACTGCCCTCTGTTTGTGCCATCACTGATGAAGCCACCAAATGCAGTGAAGGCCAGCAGCAGCACCATGGCAGTTAGCCATGCTGTGGGACTGAGGTACAATTTCAAGGTCTCTATTCAGTACTGAGACAAAACTCTTGAATTTATCAGCAATTTGTGTATAGAGCTGGGAAATAATATTAAGCAGAGGTGGAACAAAGCAAGGGAGAGTTATGTGAAACTAAGTTAGAACAGAACAGGACAATATTAGGGGTAACCTCCGAAACTGCAATTGTTTGGCTCTTCCTGGAACAAGGGGAAGCTGTGCAACAAGCAGTCAGCTTGTCAGTAGCCTGATCAGTTCACAAACTACAGAGCTGAACTGAGGGAAAACAAGTTGCTGGAGGGGAGTTAGGGACAGTCAGGTAGCTGAGGAAAAAAGAGGACCTTGTACAGTAATCTGTAAGAAGGGTGAAGAAGTACTTCCAAGCAATTGGAAACACTGACCTTGGTAAGGATGAGAGGATAAATAAATAATCCAGGTGATGACTTAAAAATGTAGAAATCATTTATTTAAAAGAAAGAAAAGAGGGAAAAAAAGCTACAGAGGGTGGAATGTGCTAAGAAAGACCCTGGGAAAGATCAAACAGGGCCAAGCACTGCATCTCTGTGTGAAGAGCAGCAGTTGACATTCAGTCGAGGTGTAAGCATTATCAAAAGGACGATGGAATAATGGCTACTCGAGGAAAGAAAAAGGTTTCCAAAACAAGTGAAGCAGCACTAGTGGGAGATTTCCCCTGGATGCTATTGGGAAATGTTTGGAGGAAGGGCTGAAGGGCACTGGCTCAGGAAAGCACCTGGTATGGCTGTTCTCAAGCTGCTCAGCAGGACTCAGCTTTCCTGCCTTTCCAGATGTAGGCGCTCACCAGCTCTGCTTCAGAGATCCATGCAAGCGATGCCCTACTACAAGAGGGGCACTGCAGCCCAAGCAGGTCCCCAGGAAGGTGCCATTGGGACACAGCTTCTGCAGAGGATGGGCTCCAGCTGTGCCTGCTGCTGCACATGGCATCTCCTTGTGTATAACCTGAGCCTTACAGAACCTAAGCTTTCTACATGTCATGTTTAACGTATAATCTGTGGCAGTTCACCCTTACACCTAAATAGATACTGGCAAGTTGTTTACTGTGGCCTCAGCCTGCTTTTGTGCCACACTTGTAGGGCACCTGCTGAGCGCAGTGCTGCCTGGAGGCCCGACCTGGGAGAGGGTGGGGTAAACCTCAGCTCCCCAGAAAGGAGGAGGATGCTCCGGACCGTGCTCACATACCTGCTCTGCAAGGCAGGCTGAGGCTGGCTGTGGGTTACTATTCTAGTGTAGCCTCAGGGGTAAATAAAAGAGGCCAAGTACCCGTGAAAACTGGCCCTTGTACCACTACAGGTGTTAACAGGAAAAAGGGCAGCTCCCTGACCTGAGCCAACCCAGAAGAAAGCATCTTAGATACCTGCAGGTCTCCCTGTTTCAATACAGCTTCTTGTGTATGCAGCAGCTTTAGGCAAAATATGAAGCAGTTTGACTGATATTAATATAAGCTAGAGCTCATCATGAAATAATCGTGCCATCTTTGGTGAAAGTGGGAATTTATCTGGGAACTGATCAGGTATTTCTCCGTGGACTAAATGCTGAATTAGGACCAGTGATGTGATGAGGGCACAGTAAGAAAAAAAGTTCTGCTCGTGAAGGAGGGCAGTAAGGGAGCTCTTCATTGAGCTGCATAAACTATTAACCTTTCTTGCTGCGAAGCGCCATCTAGTGTTCACAGCCAGTCCGGCTGGATGCGGAATTGCAGGTTCAGGCAAACAGTTTAAAAGACTGTAAGGGAGGCAGACAAACTTTGATAACTAGATATTACTGGCTGTTAATACAATTGTCCTCAGCTTCTTCATTATATGATGGAATGGGAAATGTTTCAACTGGGTTAAGAATGTGATCTAGCTCTCAGAAAGCAAAACAGAGACCATGTTGAAGGAGCATGCTGTCCTGAAACCAACCGCGCCATTTCATTCACAAAATATGTGCCCAATGATGTATCAAATCTGCACATGCAGCGAGCACTATGGTATTATGAATGTTGTTTGTATTGCAGTGGAGCTTCTGTGTGCATTAGTCCCTGCACACATGGAGTGGTGTAAGAATCTCTCTTTCCTGCAAGTTTGCAAATCAGCTGCAGTGAGTAAGTGAATCCAGGAACAGGAGAGTAGGTTAATGATCATCGTACACTGTGAGTAGGTGCATGCAAGCTATTTCTGTATGCAGATTATAAAACATACTTTATAGTCTTAAACCAGACCCAGCAAAGACACAGTTTATCATCTAAAGTCTAAGAATCGGGAATCTAGGATCCACAAGAATGGTTAGAAATTGGAGGTGGAGGAGAGGTAAAAAAGGGCACAAAAATAATCCCACCTTCAGGACTGTATCTGAGGCATCTTTCACACAGGGCTGGGGCAGTCCTCATTGGTTTGGCAATTTCTCCTGCCAGATCTGATCACCCTGAAACCACCTCGAACACAGACCTCAAACAGAAGGGTTGTTATTATTATTTGTTGTTATCTGCAGAATGCTGACAGCACTTAGAAGTGCCAGAGGATTCATGCCTTGGGTTTTGCTCTTGCAATAGCCAGGAGCACAGTCTAATTAGCCCTAAAAATGTCCATGATAGAGAACAGCCCTACTGACAGGGAGCAAATTAGGTCTCTGACCTAGCAAAGCATTTAACCATGTGCCACATATTTTAGTACATGTATCTTCAGATTAAGAGCTGGATGATGTAACCTTTTCTGCCTCTAATTTCTTTGACTGCAGTATGAAGTACAGCCCAACTTGCTTGCTGGGGAAGCCTTGCATACAGTATTAATCTGCTTTCTAAACTGACTCCTTTTGACTGGAAAAAAGATGAGGGCTTGCACCCAAACCAGAGGATCTTTGCCATTTACTCTCCTAGAATTTCCATAGGAAAACTCACCCCCTTGTCCAGCTGTCCACAGCAGCTGACGCTCAGAGTACCTTTAGCACTTCTGTGGCACAACTACTGCCCTGTCTTCTCAACAGTAATGCAGACCTTTCCATGACTACTGGTCATTTAAGAGACTCTTACTTCCTACATCACAGTCCTGTCCTTACACACAGGCAATACACAATCAGAGTCTTACAGCTATCTCAGCAAGAATGATAACAGGTCCTCCTTTCGTTTTGCTCCTTTGTGATCTGCTGAATCACTCTAGAATTCCTCGTTTTATTTCAGTAATAAACAACAAAACAAATACAACAGCAATGAAGAGCCTGGAGGGTGGCACCAACTATAGAGGATAGTGAGAACTACGCAGATTTATCTTCTTGGAGTTTGGAAAACAGCAGTTGACTCAGAGCATGATGGAGTCACCTTGCTGTCTGAGTTAACATTAACTTTATCATGTTCTGAGATGACTGTGGTAATGAGGACTTCATGAGGAGCTACATGACCCTCAAGGGAATTTTGAGTTTAAAGTTTAACCGTGTATCTTCTCATGTGATGTTAGAGGTATAAACCCTGCAGGACAGACTGGAAGCACGTCTGCTTTCCTTTCCAAGCCACATGATGACTTTGGTGGGTTGCTTCAAGATGGGTAGAACAGGTGGCTTAAGAAAGAAGCTCCAGCTGGAAGCTGGTGGGTGTTACATTTAATCTATTTGCATTCTTTGGTTCAGCAAGCCTCTGGGGTAGTGTGCCAGAAAATACCTGCTCTTTCCCCATACTCATCACTGGACTGTGCTAGTTGGTCTGACTGCACCTCTCTGCTCTTATCTCCTACATTTTATATTAATTCCAGCATCTGCTGTGTGGTTTTCACTGCTTTGACAGGGCATGGTACCATGGCGCAAAACCCTCTTTCTCTATCCTTGTCCCGTTGTGATCTCAAAGGCCCTGAAGCTGTACCTGCAGAGAGCCTGCATGAAGCTTGCAGGTGAGATATCTGCCCGTGGAGCCTGTGTGCCTTCCTTCATGTACATCCATTTTGCCTCTCTTGTACTGAGCTGGGAGGGATATGATTATGAGACAAGTCACAAACTAATCAGAGCAGGTTAGGGTCACTTTACATTCTGATGCAGAATTAAACCAATGAGGAACTTGATTGGCTCATGCTAAAATGATCATCATGACTGTTTCTCCTTTATTAGGCCTGAAGAGCCTAGTGATCCCATTTCTGAGTCAGAGCCTCAACACAGTTTTTCACACAATTCCCAATTAGCAGCAAAGAAAAAGAAAAGGCAGATAAGACTTCTGAATTACTGAGAGGGAACCTCAGTGGTTTGCACACCAGGGTAACAGCTCCTCCTGCAAGTAGAACCCTCAGTGGCATGCTCTTCTAACTGGAAATACCTGATATTTTCCTTTTTAAAAGTATGGATGCTATTTTAATTGCCAATTACTGATTAATAAAAGGAATTCAATAATACATAATGAAAATACCTTATAATATGAATTACATGTGGCCCAGCTTTACTGCTAAGTCATGCCTCAGTCACTGATTGGAATGGTTTATCCAAGTGCTTATCTTTAAGCCCCCAAATAATCCCACTGAACTCAGCAGTGGAAGGCACCCTTCAGTATTATAAACCAAATCTCCAGCCGTAGTATTTTACAATTTCAGTACCTGACAACCTAAGTGTTTGCCAACTGCAATCTTTCTTTCCATTTTGGCTGCTCTTGAGTGTATTATGTGACTCTAGTTTTACTCATTAAAGACTCAGATTGTGCTTGTTTTGTTAACAACCGTTAGGGCAGGGGTTCTGACTCTCAATTGGTACCATCTGGAAATGAGAAGGAAATTCCTTAGGATGAACGCGAAGACGAGGAAAGTCCTTACAGTTTCTCATGTCTGCAAAACTTGTCCCATTTGCAATAGCCAGATCTGACCTAGGAGCCTGCCTGCCCTTCCATTTCTGCTGGGAGCTGGTGGGAGTGTTTTCTTTCAAGAAAAAGATAATCGCCGTGTTGCCAGCAGAACTAGAAAATAATCATTTTGAAGTGGAAAGTCGCACAATTCCGGCTGCTAGCAAACCAGGCCTTTTTATGCAAATTGAATATCTTTGTTCCCAGTTTTTTCCAATCCTGCACCACTTGTTCAGCATTTCCTCATTTTCTGGCACTGGTTTCCATAGCTGCGTGCAATCACACTCTCACACAGATGCCATTCTGTGTTCAAAGCACTGAATGCTACAGGGCATATTAGTGTTTTTATGCTTTAGATCTATCTTTATGTAACTTCGGAGCTCATTAATATATACCATTTTGTGTGATTAAAAAACAACAACCTGGCACACGAAAAGCTTTGAACAGGAGAATGGATTGTAAGGAAAATGGCTTTCTTTTCATTATGCAGATTTTAAGCTAGACAGGAGATGTGCCCAGAAAGTTAGTGGAGTAGGTACTGGCTACTGCAAGGGAGTGATTCCCTGACTGCAGCCCTGCAGACTGCACGTCAGAAGAAAGAAACAGGAAAAATCAAATGCTATTTAACTGCGAAGATTTTCACATTATGATTTCAAAACAGTGGATACAAATGAATGGAAAATGTCCATGGCATTCGTCTTAAGGCTTTTTTTGTCTTAAGGTGTGCTCTTTTGCAGTGTAGAAAGACAGAGACTGGACTGAGATGTGCAGGTATGGGAATGATGGCCTCACTTTGAATATTGAATGGGCACAGAAAGGTGTAGAAGCTCTGGCTGTTGGTGAAGCACAGTTCTTCTACTTAGGTTACAGCCTGAAATGCTGACTCTAAAACTGTTGTGCCAGGAAGTATGCAGATGATGTGTGCCAGCACACAGCGCTCTAGCTGTGGATGTGGGTTGTGAAGCAGAGTGACGTGGGTGTTTTTCTGACCATCAGTTCTGACTTACAACTGCTTTCAGTCTAATGACACCAGCATGTCACCTGCTAGCCAAAGCACAGGCTGTTATAGCACTAAAAGCTGTGAGTGTCTCTTTCAGGTCCCTCTCCTTGACAATACTTACTGTCCTTCCAAGGCATCCTGATTACCTCCAAAAACACCTAATACTGACCTAATACTGTAGGTACATGTGGTTTAGATGGCATCACTCAGCAAAGCAGCAGGACAATCTCCCCACCCAGTTTGAGAGTCTATATTCATAAGGAGCAGCTTTCCAGAAAAAAAAAAAAAAAGATATATTTGGAGGTGGTTGGAATCTATTGATGCAGCATGGGCAGTGGGAATAATGTAAAATCTGGTGTATAACCCACTCAACGCTCACAAAACCCTTCTAGGAATGGTCAACCAAATCCATTTTTCCTGTCATATCTCTGTGTTAAGGGATACGTGACTTGAGCAGCAATGCAGCCCTTGGGCAGCTGGAGAGGTAAGGGAGAGAGCCACACAACCCACACAATTCTGCTTCCAAACAGCAGCTCCAAGCATTTTCCCAGTGCTGGGAAGTTTTGTTCTTCTCCTTTTCCTCCTGTGCGTTAAAAGGAAAGTACTGATTATATGGAACTATGGCAGCAAATTGCTACTAATGTATGAAATGAAAATCCACGCCTCACGGCACAGAGATCTTAGACAGATACTCTGCAATTACTGCCTTGCTACAATTTCTGCTGGGTGTTACTCAAACACAATACTGAGCACAGGTAATTTACTGCAGAGGTCATAAAAAATCTCATTAAACCCACATAATTTAAGACCAGGTAGTTTCCCAGCTCACGTTTTGGCTTGGCACCAAGCTGTGGGACCTGGCTGGGTGGCTGCCCACAGGAAAATTCTCCCTGGTGAGAGAAAAAGCAGTGGCAGTGAGAAGGGTGAGCTGTGTGCTATATAGCAGGACATGGAGGCTGACTAGCTGCACGTTTCTCTCACTGTCTTGCAGAAGCATGGGGATGTAACCAGCTGCTGAGAGTGCAGATTTGATGTGGAGAGGCTTAAGAACTGAGCTAGTCTCTCAAGTAGCCAACAGCCTGAACCTGATAGCCATTTATTTCCTGGGAATAGCAACCTCCACCCCCCCCCCCCCAAGGATTTGGCATTCTCTCCCATGTGATAATCTGTTGAATACTCTACAAGATATGGACCAGATTTCCTCCGCAGCGGCATCAGGTACTGCTGCTTGGAGCAGGCAGGGCCAGTTGGCAGCAGTGCAGGCGTCTCACAAATGTGCTGATGTAGCACTGACACGGGAGCTGCTGCCAGGGCCCTGCCTGCACAAGGGTAGGCAGGAATCAGAACTATCTTTGTGCAGTGTAATTTAGTGACAGGCCCAGCTGTCCTGACTCCTGTTTTTAGGTGGTAAATACCCCACACAGAGGTGCCACAACTGTGCCAGTCAGGGTGAATCAAACTCTCCAAGCAGCCACCACTGAGGCATTTTGCCTTCTCCAGCTAATGACCCGAGGTGTCAGCTGGTTGATGTAATAGGAGTAAACACATTTCCTATCATCCAGGTCTTTTACAGCCAGATGACACTCGGCATCTGAGTGAGGTGTCAGTCCAAGAAGAAATGCAGGCTCCCAGATCTGCCTCCTTGATGTTGGCCATGGCTGGCTGGAGCCTCTGCAGGGGATGGCATCTGTGTTCATCAACTCTGCTTCTTGCTGCCCAGCTCTGGGGCTGGGCCATGCTGCCTGACTGTAGCGGGAGCTGTGGTGGAAGCAGAAGCTCTGTGGGTGAGCCAGGAGCCTGGCAGGGGTTCCTGCATGTCTGGGAATAAACACACCTGAGTGACTCTAGGAAAGATGGTTCAGCCCAAGAGAGTGTAGCTACAGACACTAAAGAAGCCCAACAAAAAAAGCCCAGTATCGGCTTACTAACTTTTCTTCCAAGACAATGACAACACATTTTTAAAATGAGTTAATTCTCTTCCTGCAGCACCCTAGCACATCCTTTTTATTTTTCTCTGTAAGGCCTAGCTTGCCAATGGAATATTACAACTGAAAGAAAATACTTGATATTGATGGGGAAACAACACAATGACTTCAGATACCCAAGGAGAGATATTTGTATATACAGAGAGAATTTAACCTCAAAGACTCAGTTCACCTATTCATGTGTGATTTATGTTGCCCCAGGCTCCTAGGCAGAGTGAACACTGACACCCTTTGATGTTGAAAGAAGCCTAGTGACTGGCCTTTGGAGAGATTTGTGATGTCTCTATCAGCCTGTCAGTGGAAAACCAGGCAGCAAAGCCAGGCCCCCTGAAGATTTCAAGGCCTTGTAGGCAGAGGAATTGTGTAAGCATTTTACTTTCACCAAGTGCTTGAGAGGCTGAGCACAAACAGGCAGTCTAATTGAGTGGCTACAGAACACTGTGCTGCAGTCTGCATCTGCGTGGCTCTCCATGACTGATGCCCTTTTGGCCAGGGAAAGCGGCCAGCAATGGGTGCATTTAGCAATTGCATGTCCCTGGGTGATGCACTGTTTTTGCAGCATGGTGGAGACATGAGAACCCAAGGACAAGGCTTTAAAGTGAGGAATAAACCTTGCTTATTTGAAATGCAAAGCATTTTCTTGTAGTTGCAGATGGGCAGATAGGCCCTGCCCCTAATTACTGCTCATCTCTGTGGTATCAGATGTCAAGGGTTTTCAGTGGGATGAAATAGTCCTGAATAGGTTTGACATCCTACAAAGAAAAGGACGATACCAGAAGAAAAAAGAAGTGCCAGCAGTGCAATATGTGCTGTACAGCTCTGGCACAGGACCAGATCATGCACCAAGGTTAGCGATGGGAAGCAGGTGGCAGGAGGGACCACGGGCTGATGCTCCTTGTGAGGTGAATTCCCAGACAATGTGTTGAGCAACACTTTGGAAGACAGGATTAAAATTCAATATAATGCTGATAGATTGGGGTAATGACTTGAAAACAGTAACACATGATATAATAAAGACAGCTGTAGAATGGTTTACACGGAATTAAGGACTGCTGGCTAGGCACAGCAGGATCTGAGGATTACTGGGGATTATAAACTGAAGATGCATCTAAAATATGATGCTATTGCAAAAACAAACAAAGGACCAGTGCTCCATGGTTATATCGAGGATGAGAGCTCATTTGAATCAGATGTGTCCAAGATTGCAGCTCATCAGGAAACGTACAGAAATTGTCCAAGCAATTGGAGACTAAGACCAAGTGGGAGCTGCTATGTACCACTGGGCAAACACAGACTAAGAAATTGCCTTTGAGAGAGACTGAGGCATCTAGAGAGTGAATTTTCTATTGGTCTTTGAGAACTAAAAAGTGAAGCTGTTGTTAACTCAGAAACAGATGAGGAGATTGGGAAAGGACCCCAATGAACAAATGTCACTAAATGCCATGCCCTGATGATGCATTCTGCTTTACCAGAATTGTGCTTAGTCTGCTAACCTGTATCTTGTTCATTTTATATGTGGGGCAGTTGAATTAATTTTATTTATTATTATTATTATTATTATTATTATTATTATTATTATTTTGACAACCCAGTTCTGTTGGGCCACAATAAAGAGGGCAGGAATATGGGGATTAATTTCTGTTTCTCTCTGTCTGCATCTCTGATAAGCATTGTACCTGTAGCATTAGCAATGTCATTTATTGTCCTTTACTTGCACTTGTCCCTTTGGAAAGTCAAATGCTGGTATCATCCTTCCTTTCTTTTTCCTTGTGCCCTTCAAGTGAAAGGACTGTAAAGTCATAGGCTTAAAGGTTGTGAATGGAACATCTGACGCTGGAGAGCAGACATCCACACATTTACCTCAGTGGGAAAGTGGAGAGTAATTGTGGGTTCTGATTTTCCATGGAGCCTCTGTGGGGAACTAATAGTCTGGACTTGTCCTTTCTGAGGCCTAATTATGTCTCTCTGTCAAACTATAAAAACAAGAGTCTGTAGCATCACAAGGGAAAATGAAAGCTATTGGCCTGTGTTCTGCATTTAATAGGATGTCAAAATCTGAAGCACAGTCTGACTGGTTTTTGACTGGGGTTAGAAAAGAAAATGCAACTAATTAGGCTGTTCTGAATATCCCTCTTTGTCTCAGAGCTGTAGACTTGCAAACTGTAACGTACTGGGAGTCCCAAACTCTCTGATCAGTGCTGCTGTCTGGATGGGAGGGGTCTTCCCTGCTGATGGGATTCAGGCTCCACTTAAGCAACGTCACCATTAGTGAGGACAGTTCCCTGGGAAATGCTTTGTGCCATCCAACTTCTGTGTGTCAAGGAGACGGAAAAACAGAGCAAAGATTTCAGGAGTAAGGAGCTGGAGATGGGCGCTCCATTGGAAGCATCACACACAGTGGATGAAGTAGTGCTTTCAGCTTGCTTTGAAGATTATTTTCCAAAGTCTTTGACAGTGAAGAAAAATTTGGAAAGCACCTCGAGTATGAATTGCATGATGCCCTATATATGAACAATTAAGGCACTAATCACACTTTGGAGTCTGCTGTATTACATGTTAGTTGATGTCCGAGTGCCCTCCTCTGTTCTTTAGGAGTTAATTTGAGCATTTTTTTGCTTTTTTTTTTTTGCACTGAAGACATTTCTTGGAGAGAACTGCAGAAGTTACTAGTTCCTTTTACCTTTCCCTTGTCAGCTGCCCTCATTCTGAACCAATGCTACGCTCAGCTGGCTCCTCATGTTTTACAGATGAACTGAAATAAAGTGGAATTTGTCCCACTGTGAAATAAAGGAAGAGGAAAAAATAACTGTCTGCAAGATTTTTCATGCAAGTCCCACATCCTTGGTTTTGCCCTCTTTTTGACACAGAAATTTGATTGTCTTCCACTTAGACATTCTAAGGCACCTTTCTGGTTTTCATTCTTTTTTCTGATCTGACACTGGGTTAGTCAGGAAACTGCCAACTTTGCCTCACAGTCAAAATTAAACACTGCAATTCAAACTGAGAGGACATCAATGGGCAGGAAAAAAATGAGGTCTCAAAATGGTGTTTTTTGTAAATGTCACTTCTACAAGGTCTTGCACAAGGATTTGAGTTAGGAAAGCAGTCAATGAGTCTGCAAGAAAAGAGAAGGTCTTTCCAGGAGTCAGCCTAAAGAGAAAAAAAAAGAGTGGAAGAGAGAGTAAAAAGAGAATGAACAGCATAACCATAAGGAACTTAGGAAGCTGAGAGAAATGAGCACCTGGATCATTTTGGAGACTGAGAAAATACTGTGTGACAAGGCCTCAACACTTATGTGGAGATTTACAGCTGTTGTTTCCAATAACTGCACAGTGATTTCACCCACAAATAATAGTTTCTGCGGAGACAGCTAAACACTGCTGGTAAGTGTGCCTTTTCCCAGGTTGCCAAACAGACTTCCCAGCAGCAAAACAGACTCAAAGCAGTTTGGGCTCAGTGCAAGAAGCAGAAAACTGCTCACTTGGAAACCTTGTCTAGGCAGACCCTTCTTCTCTGGCACTGAACAATATCCACTTGGCAGAAGCAAGGAAAGCAATGGGACCTGACCATCACTTGAAAAACTCTTTAGCCCCTGGGTCTGTCCTGTGTTTCCAGTGCAGAACTGCTCTCCCTAGAGATGAGGGCAGGAAAACTGTCGCCTTTCTATGGCTTACTCAGTGTCTGAGCAGGAGCCAGTAGCTTCATTTTGGTCTAATCCCAAGATATACCCATGAAGGTGCTCATCTGGTGCCAAGCCTCTAGTCCAGGCAGGGACCAGTCTCACATTGTTTTCCTTGGCCCCTGAGGACAAGCTTCCCAAAGCTTATTGAGGAGCTACTTAGCTAAGACCTGTATCTGTATTTTTAGGAAAGTCTTTGAGAATGATCTTAACCTAAATGCCCATTTAAGCCTTACTGAACCGTGGTGGACGCGGATTTACACGAGCTTAAATAATTTCCTGATGCAAGCTGCAGCTCTAAGTTTTGGGTATTGTTTCCAGTTTAGCGATGGAAACCCTCTCTCAGCTTAAGTAATGTGTGAGTTACACAGCACAGGGAGAATGAAATGATAAATTATCACTTCTGAGAGAATAGCCAGTTTGTTTGCTGTCTCCCCATCAGATCCTTCCTACTGCAGGTGCTCACAGTGGTTTCTCCAATCAGCAAAAAAGCCTTCCTGATTGCCCCGTGCATAGCTTAGCCTGTCAGGAGCCACCAAAATCCCATATCTGAGCACAAAGGCGTGGGGCATTTCGAAGGTCTGACAGTTACTGAAATCAGAGACTGCAGTTAACATACAAGCCACTTACAAATGGAGGGCGGAATAATAACCACACAGCTTAAATTTAGCATAAAAAGTTATAAAATAGGTATTACGGTGGTTGGGGAGTTTGCATTTTTTTCATCTATTTTCATCCATACAGCTTAAAGGGTTGGAGGGGATGTGCTGTGCAAATAAAGGATTACTTTTACTTTTTAATCTGTGGCATGAAGATGACATAAAATCTACCCCTGTGAGTTGCCATGTAAATGAATCCAAGTCAAATAATACACAGGGAGCAACAAAGCAAACCAACCCAGCCTGCTCTGCAATACGGGTGTTTAATTTGTGCACAGAAATCCCAGGAACTGAAAAAAACTGGGGCCATTTCAAAATGCACAGAGCCATGCCACCCTCCTTCCCACAAAAGCTGATCTTTTAAAATATTTTTTAAATATACATATATTTTTTTAGGAGAGTGGGCAGGGAAGGAAGAAAGGTCAGCAAATCCGTGTTAGATGATAGCACAGATTCCTCAGCTACAAAACGCAAGGGCCGAGCAGAACAAAGAGATTTGCATTCTAAGTGATGCAAAGCAGCCAGCAGCGTTTTAATGTTGTGTTTGCTCTGTGATGTCTTCATCAGGCGCTCAAAGGCAGCGGCTCTGGCAGCCGTGGGTCCCTGTGAGCCTGTCAAACTCCGTTTCCATGGTTTTCCTTCAGGCAGCACCATCGGCAGACAGCACGGAAATGGACCCCTGCAACCTGTTTTGAACAGTGTCTCTGATGTAGGGCCCCAGAGCGGGCATCAAACTAGCAACAAGCAGCAAGAAAATAACAATTTTGCTTTTTGCAGGTGTCAGAACGGCAAACAAAAGGCTGTTTGTAGAAGATGCAACATCCCCTTTTTGTCCGTGTTGGCAGTTTAAAGTCAGCCGGGCAGCCGTTAAGGAGATTTTGGATGGGGTGTGCTGTGAGAAGGAGCTCGTCTTGAGGAATTCCAATTGTTACCTCTTGCACCCTTTAGCCTCACTGAACAGGGCCTTCTCCTCACTGAGCTAATAGCTATTAATGCTGTTTCAATTATTCCGTTTGTGTGAATGACCAGGGCTATTTTTTTTCAATCAATTCTATATATATACATATTTCCAGACAAAAAAGGCATGAGTCTCATTCCTCCTTACCTTGAAAAACACTCTTTCATTTAAATAAACAGTTCAGAACATGTTAAGCATTGGAAGCATTATTTCAGCACTGATAGAGAACAGTCTGTTACCTGTACTGGCAAGAATGGACATTCAGTGCTCGTGAGCTGTGCATGGTTACCTCGGAGCCTGCAGCACATGACCTTCACACTCAGCTCCTTCCATCACACATCCACCTGCTGGAGGTCAGCTGTACGGATGGCAGTCCAGGATTCTTGGTTCCTCTGAATCTCAATGTTTGCAGCTCCTTTTCAGAGTTCTATTAAGAATACATAACAGTGTAATTCCAATTCCTGATTTCATGGTGCCCACTACCTCAGAAACACAATCTTGTTCTTTTTAATGGAAAATATTGAAATGCTTGTGGTTGTGTTCCAAATAAGGGTGGAAACAAATAACAGGGGAAAAAAAAAAAGAAGTGCTAAGGCTCATGCAAAGCAGAGACACATTTTTCTGTACAGCTCTCAAACCAAAGCAATCTCGTTCATGGTCTGACTAAAGTTATCCAAAACACATTCAATAAATGATGTTTCTGTCCTCAGAGAACTCACTGGATGTTTTGTCACCTCCTACATTTTTCAAATACATTTAATACTTTACTCATAATTAAGGAGCTGGTTAATATTGTATTGTATCTGCATATGGAGCAGATTGAAGTTGCTAGGTGTGCTTAGAGAAACAATGCTGAGGAGCAGATATAGGTGATGTAACACTACAACTGAAATCCTAACCTCATCATCTGTTTAAAGGAATTCTCACAGTATCTAAAGAGAAAATAGGCTTGTAACTGAGAAGGCTTTCAAAGTGGTTATCATACATTGATTATTATTATTTCAGAGCTCTGATCTGCTAAATATGCATTTTTTAAATGAACACAGTTTGCATCTACAACACCGATTACATGAGAACAAGTCTAGGTACATCCATACTGACACTACAGGCAAGGTACTAACAGATACCAGTGTTGCTCACCTTGGCATATACGGTTCCCATGTTCCAAAAATAGCTAAATTGTTTTCCATCAATAGAAACAACACATTCATTCCAAATGTATTACTGTACAGTGCTGAATTTGCTCTGACTTACTCAAGAGCCAGCTGTACAGCAGAACGAACATTCAATGAAATGAACAGTGGCTGGCATGAAGGGAAGGGGTGAACAAGCCACAGACTCTAGCAGAGATTTCTTTTGATCAAAGCAACTGTTTATGACTTTTGTTCAGTGTCTCAAGATGAAAAAAATATGTCTGTGTCACAGTATAGACAGAAGCTGGCAGCTGTAGTATGCCTGTACTATTTTTAATGAATACTGTTGTTTGCAGGGTACTAGGTGATCATACAAAACATGGCTTTGTATTGTTTCTCAGTTAGCTGTAAGTGGTGTGGGTTAAAGCAAACAAACAGGAAAAGCAGAACCTACTTCACTGAAGAATGGTTTGGAACCACACACTTGTATAGCAGGGCAAAGGGCACATGTCTGGGGAATCACTGGAGGGGACTGGGAGCAGTTGCTTTAAAACTCCAGGCTTTAAAAATATATATATGCATGTTTATGGTATTTATGGATGGGTACTGGGCTGGAGAGAGGAAAGGATGCCTAAGCAGAGCTCACCTTGTATTCTCTCCATTGTTTAGTGAATGCTATTGTCAAATCAGGAGATCTGCAGATGTATTTATTTTGGAATAGAGTACTTTGTTCTGTTTTGGATTAAACCTTTCCAGAGCTGCACTTGCCACTGCTGCAGGCAAGACTTGTAAGCTGCACTGAGCAGTGTGGTGAAGCAGGCTGCAGGCATAAAAGGGGAGAAGCCACCATTGACACCAATAGGAAGAAACTAAAGGGAAGGCAAAAAGCATCACTGTTCTGTAATAAGATAATGCAGAGTTACCCCAACAGATGGGCAGGGAGAACAGTGGGCTAGGGAGCAGGTAACACCCTTAAGGCCTATCACAGGATTACTAGTGATTCTGTAGGGTGCATTCCCATTCCCACACTTTGATTTAGCAACACAGCTCTCATCATTACCATCACTCATTTTATGCCATTCTTACTTTTCAGGCAACTAGAGGAAAGTTTTTTATAGGAGAAAAACAGCCTGAAGTCTTACTCTGCCAGTAAGCAGGAATTTATCATGTAAGAAGTCTTTCTAGGCTGTCACATTTATATTATTCTTCGGAGGCCTGGTTGGGAAAGGTGACAAATAAAATCAAAAAGGACAAAGAAGTTAGCACAGCACAGTGTGCAGGAGATAACCTAAGCAGAGCAAGTAGACTGGATGACACACTTGGGGTGAAACAGAGGTGGTAAAATGTAATTTTATCTCAGCATTTTCTTTGGCTGACTTCTGAGTCGCCAACATATTAATGGCTCATCCCCTAGCAACTACAGAGCTTCCAACATGCAACTATTCTTTGGTCATAAAGACAAAAAATGGTGTTCGCCAGAACAGAGCTACCCCATTCTGGGTTGCTGACAACAGTCCCAGACTGTCCATATGCTCTGCTGCACTCAGAAGTGGTAAAGCAACATTTTTGCTCCCACTAGGGCTGGTGGTATCCCTGTGGTTGTTATTGTTCCCATCCAGACCCTCTACTGGTTCCCAGAGCTCGCACCCGTTCTGTTTCAGGCTGTACTGATAGCAATGTCACAGATCCTGAGCGCGGAGCAGAGCGAACAGATGTAGCTGCTGTCGCTTCCCTGCACACCGTGGCAGGGCCTGACTCACTTCATTCCTAGAAGGGCTCCTGTGGGATGGCTGTGGAGTGGTTTAAGTGAAAGGCAGCACGGCTGCTCCTGTGGGGCAGGTCTGGGCAGAGGTGGGCAAGTGGCCCCACATCCTGCAAGGAAGTACAGACCTGACACCTTTGGGGCTGTGGCATCTAAGAGTAATCTTTTCTTCTAATGGGGTGATTATAATAGATGAAATGAGGAGCGAGGAGTGAAGCAGCAAAGGACTAGCAGCTCCTTGACTCCCCCAGGGGTCAGGCAGGCAGTTCTTGGTTCCTCAAGCATGAATTCAAGGCTCTGGAGGTTTTGGTGCAAATTGAGTAAAAAGTTCTTATGGTGCAATTTAGCATCGCTATTTCTGCACAACTTCACAGTACTGTTCTTGATTAGCTTAAGCCTACGATGCCATTTGAAGGGGTGATCCCATTTTATCCCCCATCTCTCAGACTGACACTCCCATCTTGTTAAGCCCCAACCAAATCTAGTCATGGAATGGATTGCATGGCTGAATAAATGTTGATACATAGGTTGAATGGGGAAGTAATGCTGTTGGCAACCTGGCCTCAGGTCAGCTTAAGCTGACTGTAAAAGTGCACCCTTGGCTGGCATAATCTAATTCCCAAGTGTAACTCTGTGTTAAACAGCCTGATATGCTAAGGCTTCCAGCAGAAGTCTTTGATATTATGCTGTCCTGGGGAATCCTGATGCATTGGACAAACTCAGTTTGGTCAGCAGAAAAGCTAAACTATTATTTTCTACTTAGGTAAAAAGCAGCAGAGGGAGAAATTCACTGTTCTGACTCCTCTCCTAGAAAGACAATCGTGGGCAAAATACCAGTTTCTTTCTAGTGTTAAATCCAGTATCTTCTAGAACTAACTCCTATCACAACTTATAGTGCTTTCAGGGAAGGATACTCAGTGCTGCATGCCTTCTTTAGGTAAGGATTTGCATGTTAATCTGCACGTTCTCTGCCAAGGCACTTCAGAGACTTCATTATCTACGTTATCACTGTTATTCTCCTCCCCAGAAGCCAGTCTGACCTTAAAAAGAGAGGTAAATATTTTAGCTTCTTTTGCAGAACTGAAGTGATGCTCTGCTTGTTTTTGAACTTATTCCCACTAAAATAACCAGCTCGAAGAGGCACTTTCAGCTTCTTGGGGTAAAAACTTCCCTTTTACTAATAGTCACTGGCTCTGTTCTTTAATTCACAAGAGACTCTTCCCTCCCCTGCTTGCATGTTAGCATCTTCAATGGAACAGCTGTGTCATTGCTGAAGGGTGTCAATCTTGCCCTAACACCTTATTGACACCTAGAGTCAGGGAGGCCCCCATCTTTTCTGATTTAGGCAACTTCTCTGAAGTTTCCTTCTCATTTCCTATCAAAAAGCTTCCCACCGTAGTCTGACCTGCAGATGTAGCCACAGCCTGGCACCATGCACAATAACAGCCTGAACTGCAGCAGCAAGGTTTGAAATGTTCTGCCTGCATCAGTCCTAGCGATTATAACCTAGAGAATAACAATAAAAATTCCCTAACAATGTCAAGGGACAATAAGCCACAGCTAATCAATGAGCACAATACCTACAGCACACCAGAGCCCAGAATAGAAACTGCTCCGGCAGGTGGGACAGCTGGCTTGAATTTTTATTTAGTGGTTGTGAAAGGCACCGTGGCTTTCAGTGAGACAAGAACAGCACTGACAGTGACAGATCCCCCATTACATTGTGCCACTGAACAGAATGAGCCACTTCAGCAGATACAGTTCATTTTTCTTAAGAGTTCTGTAATGGGTTGGAATTAGTGTAACATTTCTTTTTTTTTTTTTTCTTTATAAATTCCCATTACCTACCAATGCTCTGGACTTCCCCTTCAAAGGTCACCTTGACTTTCTGGAGGCCTGGGAAGTTGCTGTGACTCTAGAAAAATCCAGGGCAAATTTGCATGCTGAGCTGACTGCCTGCACAATCTGTCTTAAAACAGCCAGCACAGCAGTGGGTGCCCTGGTCAGGATTTCTATCATCCCTCACCAATGCTGGGTGCAAGGTAATATTTCCCAGACACAACCTGTTGTGCAATGGAAGGTCTATAGGAACACCCTTCCTTTTATTTCTTATTCTTTTACTCTCCAACACTAAACGCGATGTACACATTTATCCTGTGTTCAAACAGCTCTGTGCTGAAGTTCGGAACAAATTTTCCTCCAATATCAGTGGAAAGAGATTAAAACCACTGAGCCCACTGAATGTTTGTGCTACTTTGTAGGGGCTGTGGATGACCCAAGAAATCTCAATCAGTGGTTCCTAGCAGGAGACAGTAAGCAGTTAATCAACACCAGTTGTTCTGGCCTGCTCCTGGAGTCTCTGTAGCAGAGTGGTGGCCACCAGAAGTTGGCTCTGAGTTGCCCACTGCTAATAGAACCTAAATTTCCCACAGAGCCTAAGCATTTGTGACAGTGGGAAGCATTTATTAACAAACTGCTCAGCAGATGAAGATGGATACAGGTTTTTTTGTTTGTTTGTTTGGACTTGGAGTAGGTCCAGAAAAAGGAGACAAATGGAGTCATAAAAGAAATGTAACATCTTATGAAGTGATCCACTGGTCTTACTTCTCCAGTACTTCAGAAGGCAGGTGAGTGCAGCAGGGTCTGGGTACGGACCTGAGAACCAACATGTAGGAGCTGTTGCAGGACTTGAACTGACCATGACATTTTAATTCCAGTTTAAGTGGATTTACCCAAATGACTATGATTATTAAATTTGTTAGATCAGTCAAAACTGGGACGATACTAATAGGCAATCTGTGCCCAGAAATCTTTACCTAGCAGTCAGTATACAAGACTCAATTGTAAGTAAGTTATATCCTAATTTGAAGACAGATGTGCAGACTATGGGTGTCAGTTAATTTCAACTTGACTCTCAAAAATCCTGCATTATTCCCCTTCAGATCCACCTTCTGTGAGGCTGCGATTCCAAACATCCTGCTGCTTCTCCAAAGCCATCAGCGGATTTCTCCTGGGCCTGAACTGGGCCAATGACATTTTCAGATAGGCTTGGCCAGATGTAGTCGTTAAAAAAACTAGGCCAACGTAGTGTGTGCTGTTAATGAAAGAAACACAGACCCCAGGGGAGAATATGAACATCAGGTTATTTGGCCACCAGCTGACTCCTTATCAATAAGTGCTGTGGCAGAAGGCAGAGCTGTATTATGCGTGCTGAGAGGGCACTGTTGCAAGCACAGGCACCACACTTGGGATAATAACCTAGTCTCAAAATTATGGAACCCACATCAAAGCCATACATGCCTGGCACCCAATTTTTTTCTTTTTTTTACTTAGTTCTGCTTTTGACATCACACACAAACAACAAACCTAGCTGACTTGCACTGTGCTGAGCCCTGGGAGCTGGAGCTGCCTGGCCAGAATGGCTGCAGGACCAGGACTTGCGTGAAAGCAGAACCTGCTGGCTGGGTGTGCTTGCCCTGAGTCACTCTGATATGATCACAAGCTACAAATGATTATTTTCCCCTCTCATAAGCAGGAAGAGTGTAAAAAACTGGCTAAATATTTGACCTAACCTAAAATGAAAGAAGAATATATTCAGCCTAGAACTAAGTGTGCTTTGGGAGCCTGCTTTGTTCGCTCTGACCAAACTGTGTGTCCAGAACTCGGAGCCAGACAGCTAAGACCCGACTGTTATTTAAAGGATTGGTGGGGTCACAGCAGCCTGAGCCTCTCGGGTCTGAATTAATCTCCTTGGTGAAGCAGCCTGCTCACACTCAGCTGCATGTGCTCACAGGTACATTTGTGTAGAGCAATGCCATCCAGTGGTTGCTCAGCTTCATCACAAAGCCACTGGCTCCTTCCTCAGGGACATTCTGAGCTGAAATGTTTCTGCTCTGTTCCCAGCCAAGGCAGTCCTCAGATACTGAAAGACTGTGAAAGTGACTGGCTTGATTGTTTCCAGCTTCTTTGTCCTTTTTCATGTAAAAATGAGGTATGTTTTAAATAGGAGCTACTTGATAATGTTGGAAGATGTTTTGGGGAATAATATTGTATGTACGCAGTCCAAATATACAAAGTTATGATCAGGCCTGAATTTTGGTGTAGGGAGCAACTACATGGAGACATGGAAAATTACACTGATTTCTAACAGAAAAATGCAGTCTTTGAAAGAAACTTTTTTGCTGGCCTAATCCCAGGAGATCCTGAGTTTGTTCACTGGGACATTTTTGCTTGAGGATGATGCCTAGAGATAGGGATGTACCACAGCTAAGCTGAGCCTCTCTCCATTAGCCTAACATTTTAAAGAGCCGTGAGCATTAAATTGAGGGGCATTAAATATATCTGGTTGCATCCCCTCTCTTGCCTTCTCCCAAAGAGAGAAATGTTAAAGCCCCACAGGGGCTAAATTAAGATGTCAGTAGTTTTTGCCTGTTGCACTCCCCAAGTCAGACATAATCGCATGGCTCTTGACAAGGACACTTTATCATATTAAATACCATGGTTGGAGCTGGAGCAACTGTTCAGCTTGCCGAGCATCACCCGGCCTGCTGGACACAGCCCGTCCCCAAGGCACTCAGTAACAACTTTCCACAGGCTGCAGAGCTGCACTGCAGAGCCTGCTCTCACTGAGGGGCTGCCCTTTGCAGCCAGGCACTGTACCCCACAGGTCTGACCCTCCTTCAGGCCTCAGCCCCCTCGTGTTCCACCAGGTGCCCACGTACTGCTGCGTTTCAGAGCAGCGTCACTCCTGCTCTGTAGTACAAATTCCAATCAGGCGTGACAAAGCCCACTGGGTGCTGCTGACAACAGGTGTCTCATTAAACATCTCTCAACCTTACAGGCATTCACATTGACAAGAACCAAACTCACACTCAATCACAGCTTAATCACAGCCAAACTCTATTAACAAGTCATACTAATTACCAACTTCTAACAATTTCTCAGGTTCAGAGGCAAAATATCCTTTCTTTATAGATGAAAACAGACTCGTGATACTCCAGCTCTGGCCATAATTAGGTCCTTTTAAACAAAACAAGCCAAAAATAAAAATCCAGACGGATCCCTTCGTGATAATGGTCCTGAAAGTACAGTTGTACAATGACATGTTTTGTTTGTTTTAATTTTGTATCTGCTATGTTGCCCACAAGGGTCCAATTAGCTTGTTACAGATGCTTGTACCAGTTTTATCCACTTGTCTTTTTTTATTTTTTTTAAGAGGGGTAACTTGTAGCACAGATTGCTGGCCTGCAGGCATCCAGAGATCAACAACCAGCTTTCTGTGATACCAAGCCCCCTGTGAAACAGGCAGTCCTTACTCGCAGCATTCATAATGCAAAAGGTAAAAATGAGGGGAGGGGAGGGAGGGGTTTGCACTGGATTTTGGATTTTTGTGAAATACTCTGGTGTGTTCAAAAGTGGCCTAAAGATGGCAATTCTGCCATGGCTTGGAAATTAAAATGCAGGCTTTATTTTTAATAGCATAAAGTGCTGCCTTGCAGTAAAATACACAGCTCTTAAGTTGTGGCTTTGAATTGTGCGTCAGTATTTATTCTTGTCCCCTGTTTTAGCACACATGTAATTCTGCGTTAACTGGGATGCTTTTCTCCATTGTGTGGCTGTATTGAGTGCCCAAGTACTCGAGAACTCACTTGTGAATCGATATGCTCACAAAAGGGTACACATAAGTAACAGGACGAGTCTGACTTGAACTGACAGTGGGGGTATCAAAGTAAGGGCTAATGTCTCATCCTTAACTCATGCTGTTGCTGGAGAGGAAAAAAAAGCAACAGATTGAGTTGGAGGCTAACAAGATTTCCTAACATTTTCGGAGCAGTGTTGTTCAAGGAAGAAAGCCTCCTCCCAGTACCTGCTATGCAAAACCCAGGAGGTAGTTGTTCATGGGTTTAGTTCATATTTGCTTTTCCTCTCCTTTATTTTAAAAGGAAGTTTTATTTCTCATGAAAGATTACAATGACAGCTGAGCAGAGAATCACCATCTTGAGCCTTAGTTTTGTTATGTAGTATTTAGTATTATTTTTACCTCAGGAGCAGGTAGTTTTATTTCTTCAGTGAGGCAATACAGGATGAACACATCAGGATGCCTGAAACTCCTGGGACAGGTTTGCATTTCCCAAAGGAGGGCTGGTGTGATGTGTGTGGAATCCCAATTTGGTTCACCTTGAGGTTCATGACCTGATGTGGCAGTTCCATGGAGCCACAGGCAACCACAAGGAGCTGTAGGAAGAAGCAGAATGGCACTGGGAAATGAACCTACCTTCACCCCCCTCAGCACAGCCCCATGAGCACTGTCCTGCACTTGCCTGTGGTGCTAGAGCCCAGCTGTGTGACCCCAGTGTGATGAGCAGTAACACAACAGGTAACAGTATTGGAAGGGGAGAACTCAAAAATTAGTACCTGGCAGGAGCTGGATGGCTTGGTTTTAAGGTTCAGTGTTGAAGGCTTCATCTTGTAAGGACAGAGTGTTCTCATCGTGACACTGTCATCCTCCTTCATCCCAAGGCTGACTGGATATGATGAAGTGCGCAGGCCCTGCATAGAATGAAACATAGGAGACTGTGGAGCAAACCACTGCTTTTCCAGATACCATGCATAATACAAAGCAAAACTTTTTTTTTGTAGTTTCCAGGCTGAAGATGGATTGGCACAACATTTCATTGCTCATCAGGTTCTGGCATGAGCTGGCTGAGGTATTCCAAATGCAGTTCAGCAAGGAAACATACCACAGAGGGGTGGGATACAGTTGAGTAAAGCTGCTGGTGAGTAACAGGGAAATCCTGGCGAGGGTGAATGTGGGCACATATTCTACTAGATGGCACAGAGAGTCTTATCTTTACTGGTGCAGCAGCACTGGTACTGTGGAAGTGTCACCTCTAGTGAGGGTCATTAAAAATAGGAGTGGTTGCAGTGGCCAGAATAGCAATGGCAAGAGGCACCCGTCATCCCAGGGTAGACGAGTTTCTGAGGCTCTCACACAGGGAGAAATAGAAGTGTATGGCACAATTCTGTTTGAGTAGCAAGAGGAAAAATGAAAGGTCTCAGTTCAAATCCATAGGCAGGTTAGGAGAACAGGAGAACCACGACAACATCTGTGCAGTGCTCCGTCAGGGGAAAATGGAGTTCTCTGCCTAGCCATAGTCTTGTTCCTCCTCATAGCAGGCTGCTTCAGATCAGAGCAAAATAGGCTTTTTTTTCCTAGGATTTGCCAGATTGAATTTGGAAGAGGCCAGCAGTGTCTGATGGAGGCTGCAAAGATTAGTTCTGGTTCCAGCATTTCTTCAGCCCAGACACAGCAGCAAAGTGCAACCACAGGGCTGATGTCATCTGTCTGCTTGGGGAGGGCTTGCAACCAGCAACAGCCCTTCCTACTTTTGAACTTTGCAGTGGAGACTTCTTTGTTCCCCATGGATTTAGTGTTCCTGAGGTTTAAAAAGAATAAATCAGAACAATTGGAGCTTTACTATTCTGTAGAATGGCTGCTTCTGATCAGAAACTGAAATCCCACTCCGTACTCCTCCAGTGTGGAAATCTGTCAGGTAAACAGAAATCACCTCATAAAAGCTCCTAAACAGCTCTGTTTTATATTTTAATTGAGGAACAGAACATTTTAAGTACTTTTATTGGGTGGCGCCTGCTGAATGACAGATGTCCATGGCGGAGTATTGCTGAGCACACTTTCATAAAACAGGGCAATTCCTTGCTTGAAACATTTACAATTAAAGGCTTGATTGAATAACGAGTTCTGTGCATGGAGCTCATTTCTGCACTTGTTTGTGCACCTGAATCAGGCTGGGATTGTTCGGGAGGTTGGATATGAGGTGTCAGTTGCTTTGTTCAATGACCAAATAGTGCTCATGGGCACAGCTGGAAATGTGCCTTTGATTTTTCACCGATAGAGATAAGGTATGCTGTGCTGTGCTGCACTGCGAGACTTACTCACACCCTCACTTCAGCTGGGAGGCTGAAATTACATGTTAGGAACAATCCCAGTTTGTAAACAGGCAGAGATTTTAAAATGAACAGTAATCCTTAGTAGCTGACAAAGTCTTAAGTAATTTCTGCTTTATTTTTTATTTAACTCCTGTGACCCTTATTACTTTGATACCCGAGAGCTCTCTTTGATACCCATGTCTTTGTGCATCGATTCTCACAATATCTAAAGGAAGTCAGGCCAGCATTAGTATTATTTTATCCGTCTGTATTATTTTATCCAGGGAACTGAGGCTTGGGGAGATCAGTGACTTGTCCAACGACATTCTTCAAAAAGGGGTCCCAGTGCTCTAAACACATGACCTATCTTGGGACAGTATTTATGATTTTGCCTTGTAGAAACACTCAAAGCATGGAACAACCAACAGCAGAGTGGATGACAGGGTACAAACTGCAGACTTTCATTCTAGCAACTCAGAGACTCAAGTTAGAAAGGATTTCAAGTTACACCAATACTGAACTGAAAAAAAACCCATCTCTAACCTGCTACCAACATGAAGTTGTCATGGCACAGAAAATCCTAACAGTGAACGCCTAAACATAGGAAAAAGCCCCCACACCTCTTTGAAAACTTGAATCCACAAAGTAAATCCTGTCTCAGCAGAAGATGTGGGAACAGCAGAAGGCAAAATGTGTCATGCGAAAATCTTACTGGATACAACGCAGGACGAGAACGTGCAAACTGATGCAAAATTAAATGCCATCAAACAAGATAACACATATACCAGCACTGAAGAAAATGCACAGCATGCTCACGAAAAAATATTAATTCCAAGGGGGTCTGAGGACATCTAAGCAGCCCCTGGTGACTCTATTTTGCCAGGAATATGGAAATTTCCAAAAAAGGATGCAGGAAGATGCTGCAGAAATTAAATGAGGAATAAATGAAGTGTAAGGACCGGTCAGTTACAGAACTAAGTGTAAGATGTGTCAAACCCAGCCCCAGTATGGAAAAAAACAAAGCAGGTACTGAGTGATTAGTTTGTCTGCTACTAAAAAGTGACCCTGCTGTTCATCTCTAGGATACCATCTTTCCTTCTTCAGCACGCTCTGCAGGCAGTGATTTTCAGGAGTTGCTGGTTTGCACATCCAAAGTAGGTGCATCTCAGTTCAGGGCAAACAAAATGGTAGAACAGCTTTACTTGCAAAATCTTTGTAGATGGGGGAATATTCTCTGGTTGAAAGGAAAAGGATTGTGATTCAGAGGCTGGTGTGAATATGTAAGGGGCTCAATATTTAATAAAGCACACCTTCTTCGTGGCATGAGTGACTGAGCTCATTCATGCTCAACATCCTTGAATTTTATTGTGCTACTCCACATTTAAGCGATAACACAAATCCTTCTGCAGATCTAAGAAGGGAGGAAACTTTCACAAGTTTTTTACTGGATACTGACAGTGATTCTGGCAATAGGCTCAGCTGATCAAAATCCTTTATTCTGAGCTGTGGAGGAAGATGCTCCTAAATTCTTCTGCTTTGTCTTTGGAAGGCCAATGGCTTGTGTATTCCGGTGACTCCCCAGATCTCCCATATAAATCAGAGAAGACAAATAAGTTGTAACTACTGTAGTGCCTCCAAATTCTCACAGTCTCCATCACAAGCTTTCTACTGATGAAAAGTAGTGAGCCAGACATATTTCCACAGAAAATCTTGGTGGGCCTGTCCAACAGCAGCCAGAAAAGCAAGATGCCTCTTCAGAACATGGGACAGCTGTGGTTACAGTGGGATTACAGAGAATGACAGACAAAGTGAAGACAAGTACAAGCAGTGCAAGAAAAATGAGACCCAGTCCTGAGTCCAGAAACTGTTCAGTGTCCCTCTGCCTTCTGCTGGCTGCGAGATGGTCTGGAGATTTCTAGAAATCTTATTCCACGTGCCCCACTCCCAGTGTAGGAGCAAAGAGCCATTTCCAGCTACTTATAAACCCAGCATAGTGGGAAAAATAAATCATGTTTTGGGGCTGTTATTCTCTAAAGAAAACAAGTGGCCTAACCCTGTACATACAGTCACGACACAGGAGTTAGGCTGAAGCATGTGCTGAGGGAGGAGATGAGGATCTGGCTTGCACAGCTGCCTTTGAGCAGGGTCAAGACAATCTCACACAGGGCACAACTCCGTTAGTTTTGTTCTGGTCTTTCTTTCTTTTTTTTTTTCTTTTTAAGAGCATTAGCTCTTTTCTAAAAATGATATTCTGCTGTGAGTGGGAAATGAGAACAGGCCAGTCCAAAGGGAAAGAGTGCAATGCATCGGCTGCAAGCCTAAATAAATACTGAGGTCTGAAGATGCCTGGCTCAATTTTGTTTTACAGAGTTTCATTTCATGAATCTTTCCCTTTCATTGTTAACCACTCACAGCTGTGATACAATGAATAATAATAATAAAAGAAATGTATTCATTATTCATAATAAAAGTTCATATTTCTTGTAGAAATGATATAATTGGTGATCAGGAAGTACAACTCTCCTAAAAGTTACCAGGGCTTCTTAAGTATAAGCACAGTCCCCACATGCCCTGTGTTCAGGGGGACGTGTTTGTTAAGCCTTGGTGGTGGGCTGATTTGGTGTAGCAGAAATACTAACTCATGGCCCGAAGCAGTGATTGAGCACCTGGTGGGAAGGCAGGGCCAACCCAGGGAGCTCAGGTGCATGCAATGCAATGCAATGCGATGCAATGCAGCTGAGCGACCAGAAGGGGTGGAGCCAGGATCCACCTCTTTCCAGACCTCTTTAAAGGTTGGCAGGAGAGACACAGGTAGCTCACTGAAGACTCCTGCCTATGTGAGGCCTTCTGAAGGTAAGCATTTCCATTTACTTCTGCATCTATGGCTGCTGTTTTTGGGCCTGTCCTCCATTGATGCAGTTAAAGGTTTTGCGATACTGCTATCCTGCAGCAACAGCTTTGGCTATGGAATTAGCATTCCTTGACTGTGCCCCATTGAGTGTGATGTGTGTTTCCATGAGGATGCAGCTAGGGCCTGAGTTAAAGCATAGCAAAGTTGAAGCTTTGGGGAATCTGGCATGTGAAATGTTCCTGGGTTTCTTTGACAATGAAAATAATGAATCTCTTTGCCATATTCCCCAGGTGTTTTCCTAGATGTCTACTAGTTAGCCCCTTGCTTCCTGCCTGCAATTAGCACTTACATTGTTGCAAAGGGAGATGAAATTCACTCTCTGCCATTCTCCTTCAGAAATTTCTCACGCCTTTCCTACTGGGTGGGAATATGAGCTGTGGGTAAGGGGAAATTCTAGTAGTGGAATTAGATTTGCAAGCAATCCTATCCCTCCTTGTCTCTTCTATTAGATATTGGTCCTCATCATGGTGTGTGAGCACGGAAGCCCACAAACAGGATTTCTTTCAGCAAAGATCCAAATTTTCACGACTTCGTTCTGCCCCTGGAATTATAGAGGCACAAATTGGTCTACATGCATTTCACACAGGGTAACTGCAGCTGGATAAGTGCCTGCTATTTTGGTGAAGGAGAAGGGTGAGTGTAAAGCTGGGAGTACATGACCACTGACCTTAATTAGAGAAGATAAAAAATGTTGAAACATGATTCCTATGAAAACCAAGGAAGGTCTTTATCGCAGAGTGTTTCCACATGGATGCCACTGAGAAGAGGTCAAGTGTTTTCTATATACTTTAAGTAAACAGCAGATTGAGTTCATAGTCTGGACTGGATTTGAACAGCCTCTGTATTCTGCAACATCATAATTGAGTCTTATGTACTTAAGATTTGATTGATATCCACCAATGTTATTACCTGAGATCTGCCAGGAAACACAGAGGCTATTAAGAGCTTGCTAGTGAAGCTATGCCTAGTGTCAATATGGCTAACCCCAGGCTGGGACTGGGTCCTGGGCTCTGACTTTAGCAGAGGAAGAACGATGGTTTCTCTTAGGAGTTGCTGTTGTTGGCTTTTTCTGATAATATATACCTTCAAATCTTTCTGTCATGTAAAAAATGCCCATAATCTGTAAAATTAAACTTGTTGAATGAGAAATGAGTTGCATGTCAGGAACAGAATGCTTCAAATAAGGCAGTTTATTTACGTGCCACTAATGAAGCATATCATGCCATGTTAAGATATCAGGCAAAAAATTCTTGTGTTCCTCCTTGCAGTTATGCAGGTTAAGGTTATGAAGGTTAAGACAGCTGAATGCAGTGGCTTTGTATCAAAACCAACTCAGTCTCCCTACCTGGAAATGGGATGACAACTGAATCACAAATTGCAGTCTTATATCTGCAGACTTAGCTCTAGTATCACTTATATTATCAGGTAACAGCATTCATCACAGATGCTCCACATTCCCTTCTTGTCTTCACTAGAAGTCCTGTTTGCAGATAGGGAAAAGAAGTCACAGAGCAACAATCCAAGTCCACACAACCCAGTGGCAGACCATCCTGAGCCCCCAGTTCGACCCAGCAGACCTAATAACTTCTACAGCTATTACAAGCAGGAAGAAAGGGCAGGAGTGTGCTTAGGGCCTAACTAGAAACAGATGAATCACTGGAAGTATCCCTATCCTTCACATGAGGACTGGAAGTATTGGTGCCCAAATTATTTAAGTGTATTGCTGGGAGGAGGGAATGAGGCATGAAACATGGGAACTTCATTCTCTCAACTTTCAAGCTGAGCAATAAAGGTTTAGATGCAGCCAAAGCAGAAAATCCCTCTTTCCTGGTCTGCATCTGCTTGTTAAAAGGAAAAAGAAAGGGCAGCTGATTTGTGAGTGCTTTCCTGCTAGAACTGTAGATTTGAAAGCTGTGCCCTTGATTATTGTGGGGAATGCAATTGCACGTGCCATTAATTATTACTGATAAACCAAAGTAGTGATAGTCAAAGTCTCCTGCCACTGAGATCAGGCTCTGTGGAAAAAGAAAAACCCAGGAGCCTCCAGCCTATCAGTATTTTTTTTTGTTTTTTTTGGTGAAATGTCTGAATTGCAAGTCTCCAAACTTGGTGTGTTCTCCAAGTACGTGATATCTATAGGTGCAGATCAAGAGAGCTGAAGTTTATCTACACAGACAGCAAAAAGCAACTTACTGTCCCACTAGCATGTGACCAGCCCCAATTATGGCTTCTTCCCCATGACATCAGTATGCAATGGAGGATCTCACTTTTTTTTTTCCTCTTGCCAGAGGCAAGTGAATACATTATCCAGCAGTGAGGTGTGGGGCGGGCGGATGTGTAACTCTGGGGTGATTTGGATTCCACACTCGTGTGGGGGTGTGAGCCAACCTCAGAAGTCATTTGCACTGATGCTGACACATACAGCATCCCTCAGAGATCTGTCTATCAAACTGCAACATGCTATGCAGAAAAATTAGATTACTCATGCTACAATAAAGAAGGGAAGATGACAATGATGGGGGGAAAAAGAACTTCAAAATCTAACAGCTATTTATGAAATGAGTATAAATCCTAACAATGGAGAAGTATCCTAGAGACTTATTTATTTTAGCTCTTGCAAACCATTTCAAGGAGAGTGAGTTGGAAAGATCCTATTAATTCTGACACTGCCTCTGGAAAAAAAAAAAAAACACTTCATCACGATTGTCACATTACAGTTATTGTGAAATACCATCTTAAGTACTCATTATGATTTTGCTGCTGGTCTTGCTGCTCTCAGCAGCAGGCTTTCCTCTGGATTTGGTAAGTGCAGGATCAGGCCCTCTCTCTTTCTCTCTATGAATTGCAAATGGACTGCTCGTGTGCCAGCTGAGTAACTAGGCAAAGTTCACTGTGCTCAGTTCAAAGATGCAAGATGAAGCTCAGGGCATTTCACTCACAGTATTTGCAGAGTTCAGGTCTACAAAAGTGTTAAAGTGGTTTAATACAAAATCCATAAGACAAACGTTATGCAGCTATGTGTGAAGCCCTGTCCAATAAAATCCATTTCTTTGGGAAAAAATACAAAGTAGTAAAACATATTTTGTGTAAAAAAGAAAAGGCTATGTGAAGCTTAGGAAAATCCTATAAATCAGAATGCTGTACAGCTTCAGGAAAGGAGATTTAAAATAAATCTGTGGAAGAATATACACAGACATACACACAGATAGCTGGAAATGGATCTGGACAAGTGCTGAGGTTAGAACTTCTCAGATAGCACTGTGGGACTAGTTTTACAATACCAGAGAATGGTGAGGTTTGGCTGAATGCTGATTTTTTCATTGTAGTAATAACTAACCTATGTTGGGGTTTCTATGGTATTTGCTCCTTGAGTTATTCCCCAGGAATGCTATCTAGGAAAGATAATTGAAACTTTTAACTCCTGCCTGCCCTGGATCATCCATTAGCCATGCTGCTGTCAGCTGCAAATTGTTTTACTATTGCTATTATTTCTGGAGGAGCCAGTTGTTGTATGTTGGCTTGATTTGTCAAGCAATTCCAGCCATTTCCTGTGGGGTTTATTACCCTGTTTTGGTTGTCTCTTCCCAGAGTTAAGTTGTGGTTCCTGTCCAACACAGAAGAAGAGCTACATTTGGTGGCTCTGCATCTCACGTCGCCCCTGTGCAGCTGCTGGCCTGCTGTCCAGGACAAGGAACTGCCATGTGGTACGTTTAGCTTTCCCTGCTCATTCTTTGAGTGTGTGACACTATTAAACTCTCGTGTAGATCACCCAAGCCGTGTGATTTAAGCCTGCCTGGTAGTTTTGGAGGGCTTTTTCTGGCTTTGGCTGCTTAATGCAGACATGCGATTTCAATGTGACCACACATAGTGGAAGTATATGGAATTATAGGTCTTCTTAAAATTGTCAGGAGCAAATATGATCAGATCTGGTTCTTGATCTCATTACTGTCTGAAAGATTTGACTGGCATTTTTAAATGCCATGATTTATGTTCTTCACCTTAACAGCCCTCGGTAGTGTAAACCCAGTAACTCTATTACTCTCCAGGGCAACTTCTAGGAATCTGATTGGAGAATTTACACAACGCTGTGTCTATAAGAAAATATTAACATGGATTAAGACAAGTTGATAGATATTAAACTAGGCTATAGAATGAAAACCACTGAGAATAAATCAAATAACTTTGCCTAACTACAGAAAGTATTTGTAAAGCCCTGTAAGGTTTCCATTTCCTAAAGCCACCTGCCATCTCAAATGCCCGTAATCAGTCACAGATGTTGGATACCAACCTGCTAACCTTATGGCTTTGAGAGAAAATATTGCACTTTTGTAAACTCATTCTTGGGTGTTTCCTTTATTTCTTAGAAAAAACCTAAACTTTCATCCCTTATTTTCCATGTAAATGTAATGAGTTATATCAACTCTGACACTTGGTTCTGCTTAGCCTTCCAGTTCTGGTTAGCTGCTTTCCTACCTGGCTCTTCAGATATTTGAAGATCTCAGGTTGTTGTTCTAATTGTTAGGGTACTTTCTGACTTTACAACTCACGATTCCCATTCTGGCAGTGAAGAATCCAACAAGATGCAAAATGTACATCTTTTCTGTAACCATTTGCTAATGGAGAAGTGCATATTTTCCTTTTCTCAACTAGTGTTTGTCTCCACAATGAAGATATGTCAAGTACTGAGCTTTTATCAAGTACTCTGGAAACAGGGGGGGGAAAAAAAAAGTAGCAAAAAATAATGAAAATATAAAATCCACTATGAAACAAGAGATGTTTTAGCACCTATTGGAATCAAAAGAAAGAATTTCATAGATTGGGAAAGGTACCAAAAGAGGCCAAGCTGCCAAAGACCGTTAGATGCTGTTAGGATATATTGATATTTGAGCCCAATGGTGGGTTTGGCTTGGCTGAGGAAGGAGGAATTATTCCACTTCAGCTTGTGAAGACAGACTGGGAGTGGGAGTTGTAACGGAGGTAGGAAGCAGACTGGATTTTATTAGACTTCCATCATCTTTAAGAGATCCCTAACCAGATCAGGTTTCAGCCTCTCCCTCCACTCTTGTGTCAACCTTTGGTTCTGTTTTTGCTGGAGGATAAGTTTCATTATATTAATAAGCAGCACAAGTGGTTCCAATTGTGGAAGAACCACTCTGAGCTGTCAGAAATGATCAGAGGAGAAATTTCAACCTTTCCATGATCGCAGCCTCTTCTTCTGGTGCCTCAACTCAGCGCTTCCCCAGCGCACTGCACATTGTTTAGCAACCACGACAATAATAAAAGGTACACTTACATTTTGGTGAGAATAGATTATTTTGAGGAACTTTATTCTCTGATCATGTAGTACATCAGTGCTCATGAACCAGATGTTACTGGGAATAACTAGGCTAACATCCAATCTGCTGTCTGGAAGACCAGATCTGGGGACTTACTGCTATGAAACTATACATCTTCAATTTTCTACTGCAGTCAAATTTCAAACGCAAACATCTTTAATTATGCCACTGTAACAATGAGCCTGCACTGTTTTTTTTTTCATTGCTAATATGGAAATAAGTAGGAAAAACTCAGAAAAAAGTACCCCAAAAGCTGAGGCTGTTTGGTCCTTGCTGCTTACCAGCCATAATGCTCAGCATTTGTATTCAAAGCATCTGCATGAGGGAAAGCATTTTAGGTAGACAGAGAAGATAAGGAATCCTTATGAGGGTGGAAGTACTACCAGCTTAATTTTGCAGATAGGAAAGTGGCACAAACACGAAGTATTAAATTGCTCTGAGCCCAAAAGAGCGGCCAGTAGAGAGGAGCAGGTCTGACTCAGAGAATGCCCCCTAACCATTAAGGCCATCCTCAGGTAAGCAGAAGGAGGCAGCTGTGGAACAGGCATCTGTGCCTCTGAAGCTGCTCAGGCTTTGTGCAGCACCATGTGTATGCCCTGCAGTTTCCCTCAGGCTGCAAGGCTGGGCTCACAGATCTACCCTGAAATAACTGAGAATCACACTCCATCTCAACAGGTTTCCCCACTGCTCAGGGAGGATCTGAGTGAAGTTTAGTTTTCCAATTAAACTCACCTGGGACTAGTCACTGAAATGTCATCCATGAGATAGAACAAAAAAAAAGGGGGAGAAATGTAAAAGGAAATCTTTGTAGCCAGGACTACCTGACTCTCCCACAGTAGGAGACATGAGAATACTGTTTCATGTCATGGAGATGTAGTTAAAATGCAGACTGCATATCCTTGTTCTCAGAATTTGAGAGGTGTGGTTTATGCATGTGGACAAGCCATCGTTCCTCCCTTTGATCTATCACTTGATGTAGAGGAAAGGCTTTTATGTGTTAGTCCCATATAATGGATAATTTAGTCTGAAACCATTATAAAAAGTATTACACTTTGGGTACATATGCTTCAATTATTCTTGAAAGTACATGGAAATATTTTATGACGTTCACATATAATTCAAGTTGGTTTTTTTTTCTTTTTAAACCAAACTAAAACCAGAACTTTTGTTTATCATCCAAACAAATTTGTTCTCCTGAGGTAAGTTTGCAAGTATTTTAAAAGACTTCTGCCCTTTTATGGAATACATTAAGGTAAAAATGTAACCACTGTCTTTGGATGTTAAAGAAGAAAAATGTTAGAGTCATCATTCACTGAAATTACTACTGGTACATATTGCTTTTTAGCTGCCTATATTTAATCTGTTTATGAATAAAATTACTTACAATGAAAAGTAATAAATACAGATTTAAATTCTCCTTATACAAGTGCACTTATTTCTGAACTTAAAAATTAATCCTGTCACCCCTTTTACAAACAGAATTGACGAGAGAGAGAGACCTGAAACAGTTACCCTTAAAACCATGAACTGCTGAGGTGATGAGAGATGGTGGCAAAGAGCAGAATTCCCCTTCTCCCACAGTAATAATTCCTGCAGGGAAAGCATCTTATTTTTTCACCTAGATGTTTGTTTTTCTTCTCCAGGTACATTCCTAACGACAGATTTGGGAAACAGCGACAGCTGAACACCTGCATTCTTCTCAGCCTTTGCACCTTACTGCCTCAGTTTCCCTACTGATAATTAAAGCACATTTATATCAGGAACTGTTTTTCCAACTAGGAAAATTATCTCAGCATTTAATACTGATTTTCTTTTACTGAAAGATAGCTGTGATCTTCACATTTCAGATTCCATAGCAGAGAAAGTGCTGGTGGAAGATACTGGCCTGTAACACCTACCACTGGTCCTCCATCTGCGGGGCTGTGGGCATTGCTAGTTCAAATAGTTAGTTCATCTGGAGGAAAAATATTTAACTTGGGGTATATGGGGCTTCAGAGGCAGAAGGGCACACCCTAAGAAAGTGCCCTGCTGGTCATTTAATCCCTGCTTTCTTCACTATGTGGTGCGCATTGGCTGGCTCAGGAGGTGTGCCCTGCTCCTCCAGTGCTGTGATGTGACCAGCAACCCCCAGACATGGGTGGCTCTGCAGCTGCATATCCTGCCTTCTGAACTCTGAGTCCTGGGAGGGAACTGGAAGAGCCCCCTGGTTTTAACTGCACCAGCCACCCCTACCTACCTTAAAGCCCCAAACCACGAGGGGCAGTTGGTTACACAGCATCATAGGGTGCAAGCTATTAGCCCCAAGTGTTTCCAGATTCCATTTGGTGCACGGCACAAGCCCTTTCCCACACAATATCTGAACTGAAGCTCATCAGCAGTGCCCAGGTTCAGATCCTGACCAGCCTGCACTGCAGCCCCTCTGCTGAACTAACCTGAGATGAAAGGCGTCAAATGACAGGATAGAGAGTGCTGAGAGCTGGCAGCGGAGGTTTCTTCTGCAGACATCTTGCTGGTTGTTTTAAGGTCTTCTGCCTCTAAGTGGCACCATGCTGAGTGATTGAACACTTGCTAGAATCTGTTCTACCTTTTATTGCAATGATTTATTACAGAGCTCCCAGTTTCCAAACTCTGAACTTTCACAAATGCTGCCTGGATGTCAGAGCCCTTTTGTCAGAAACACCAGAGCCTTCTGGAGTGATGGTCTCGGTACTACAAAACCCCTTTGGAAAGCCACAGCTCTTGAACCAGCATGGGGAAAGACTGAACTTTCATTTTTAGAGAAGGCTCTCACACCCCCAGGATCTGCATCTGAGAGGTACTCAAAATACAGCCAAGAGAAGCTTTCTTTGCTGTAAATTTCCAGAGGATTACACTGAATCATAGTCTTGCATAGTCCAGTTTACAGATTTGTATGTACTTAATATAATTAGCCTCAGATTATCTTTATGTAGCTTCTGCTCAGAGAGCAGGAAGTAATTTGGAAGGGGGACAGAGGGTGTCCCAGAATGGATGGGTCCAGTCTACGTCCACTACGAGACAGACAGACACACACTTGTTCTGAACATCCTGAAACTGCTTAAGCAAAGCGCTCCCCCCAGACTAGCTATGCAGTACTGGCAATGTTGTGCTGCTTAAAACAGAAGGAATTGATTTCTCTGTGCTCACAACACAATAGCATTCAGATATTCAAGCACCTATTATGAAATCTGACTTTGCTTTAGTACTTAGAAGTCCTCGCATATTTTGTGGCATTTAGGGCTGTCTTACTCTGCCTGAAAATACAGTGAGGCTTTCCTGTCCCTACATAATGAAACAAAATCCACACCCCAAACTCCTACAGCTCAAAACAACCAACCAGTGCAGCTCAGGAAAACTATGGTAAGGAAATGTACACCATGAGAAAAGTTTTCCTGTATTTGAGAGAAGGTTGTCAGGATGGTAATATAGTACAGTGTGTAGTGAGGACTGGGAGATTTATGTGCCGATTCTGTGTATGATTTATTTTGATGAATTGTTTTTTATCAATATGTAAAAATCCAATAAATATAACTCCCTTTACAAAGGGTTGCTCCAGTCCCAGTGTTTCAGTGGACAGTTTTGGCAGAAAGTCAGGATGTGCATTAAAAACACACTTTTTGAGAAGTCTAATAAATAAAAGCTCTGAAATATGGTTTCCTACTGAGAAAGGCATTTTAAATCATTTTGATAAAGAATCTAAATTAGGCCTTAAAAGGAGGGGGAAGCTAGGTCCCTGCAACTAATTATTTATAGGTATTTTGAATATAAAAGTCCAGGAAAGCCTGCCTCCATCCCCCATTCTCTGCCACAATAAAGGGGAAAGAAAAAGCCATTCCCCTTCCACCTCCCACCCAAATTATAAGGCAGAAGTGTTAGAAAGGGGCCAAAGAAAACAAAATTAAAATAGGGAACAGAGAACTGACAAAAGCAAGGAACTTCAGAAGTCCTGGAAAAAAAAAAAACCTGCACACTTTCTCCCCAAAGCAGCGATACCAGGAGGGGACAGGTCTTCACTTCTCCTCCTCATTACTCAAGAGCAGTGGGCTGCTACTCACCCCAGTCCTCTGAAGAGGGAATATACTGATATTTGCTAAGCACCACAGGGAATGTTTTTAGAAGTGAATAAACATTTGAATAGCCCCATTCTCTCTGAAAGTCAAAGCAATTTAGAGATGGCATAGAAGTCAAAACTGCTGGGGATGTCGGCTTCTGAATCACTTAAGTGCTTCTGGATATGTTAATCCAAAACGTAGCTGACGTTTGGCATGTGTACAGCCACCCATGGGCCTTGCCTTCAGGGGAGTTACAGCACAGCGACCTGCTACCCCCTGCAGCAGAACCAGTGGGGCTGAAGATGTGCTCTGTGCTTCAGTGGGAGAGTCTGTGGCTCTGCAGCAGCAATTGGCAGCGCCCTGGTTTGGATCTCAAGCCAAGCCCAGAAACTCAGGTGCAGTTCACAAGGCTCAAGGCTCTGAATGGGAAGGCTGACAAATGAGAGATTAATAAATGGAAGCACAGTGTGTGTGCTGGAGAGATTTCTGCTATGGTGGTTGTGCCTACCAGGCTTCCTACTGAACTTACTGCTATTCATCTTACAGACATCTAGAATTTCCCTCCCTGTTCTCAGCTTCACCTTGTACTCCCTTCTGCCTCCAGGCACGAGCTGCTCTTGTCCCTGCACAAGGGCCATTCATTCGCTGCTCCATCAGGAGCGCTTCCCTCTGAGTTTGGGTTCATCCCTCTCCTTAAATCTGACCTTCACATCTTCCTTCTCATTGCAGGGCTCAGTAAGGTGCACTACAGAAAGAGCCACTGCACTTGCTGAAGCAGGAGGCTGCTAGCACTAGGGAAGGAAAACACAAACCTCAGAAAATTAATAGAAGCATTTAAGAGTTGGAATTTAACAATGTGGGTCTGCATCTACCTTTGGCCTGCCTCTGTACTGTAGTTTCACAGGACACAAGAGCGCCCTTTTGTTGACTGGGGCCAGTTACAAGTCTTCTAGCATCTTCCAAATGCAAGCAAGACAAGGCTGCCCAGACTTACAGACAGCTTGCAGCCCTGATGTGTGCACAGCCTGAACTTGCAGACAGTGCCCTCTCAGGTCAGAAAGAGCAGAAAAGCTCAGCCACACAGCACCAGTGCAGCATTTAGCTCCAAAGCTGACACAAATACGTGGCCAAGTTTTCAAAATAACTGAGCAGCTTCAGGGCTTTGTTACCTGCAAACACATCAGTGGGAACTGCAGGACTCAGTTCTGAAAACCTGGGCTGGGAATACTCAAAAAAAGGGCCAAGGGCTCCTCTGAAAATATCCTAAATGACCAAATGAGAAAGAGCAATGGATAGGATGGCAGCACAAAACCAGAAGGTGCTAGCTGCAACTGAAGACAAGATTTTGTCCCCAGTTCACAGCAGCTCTGAGATTTCTCTCAACCCACCAAAAAGGGAAAAGAGAAGTTCACAGATAGTCAAAATGTTAAAAAAATAAAAAATAATAATAAAAAAAAGCAAGCAAGAAAGAAAAAAGCAGAAATCTGAATTCAAACTGAGACTTAAGTAATAAAAAAAACCTGCCAAAAATGTTCATTTGTTTCAGGAAAACTTAAACACAGGCTTCTGACATCTTCAACTTAACCAAAAAACATCAGCCATAATGATTCCTCCATCCGATTCAACATTAATATTCAGACAAATGTCAGAAGCTGTCATTTCCCAAGTGAAAGCAATCCACATTCATTTCCAGCTGGAACACCTAAGGCCACACTGCTTCTGATGAACCAGCGGTAAATTTTAAGCTGAAATGAAAGAAAGAGGTAGAAGCTGATGCCTGAGTGCCTTCTGAAAAACATCAAAATGTATTTTCTTTTCAGTCCCTAAAAAAAGGATCTGATTATTTAGGGATCCTTTCCTCCTCGCTTCATTATCATTAGCTTAGCAGCGCTGGGTTATCTAATTACTCAGCTAGAGCTGGAAACTGCATTTTCATGTAATAAGGTGTAAGAGGACTAGGCTGTCTAGCTTAGTAGTCAGTACTTGAAGAACAGCTGTAAAGAGTAGAGTCGGGAAGGCTGCAGCACAAGAGGAAATCCTCAGTAGAATTCAAGTGCTTTACATCTGTCATAAACATACTTCCAGATCAAATTAAAGGAATTTCTTTTAACTGTATTCACAGGCTCCAAACACTCCACACAACAAGCTGCCTGAGATCTTAGTCATTCTGAGAAATGAATCATTCCCCTTGTCATCTGGCTGTTCTCTGCTGACTGCTAATTCGCTGTATATTGATTTTAAGACTCTGTTAACACATTATATTTTTGTGTTAAGCCAGGAAAGCTTTTCTTGCTGAAAAATCACGTCCCATCCTTATTCCTCACAATATTCAGTTTTGTTCCTTCTCATTTATTTAGAATGACTGATCAACGCTGTTTAATCAGCTTTTAGTGGCTCTGTGAATTGTTCCATGCTATTGTAACCACCTACATGTTTTTCTACCAGCATTTAACATCACAACATGAGTTCTACGTTTTGGACTTCTGTGTTTGCCTACTGATGCAAAAATTTAGCAGAGCAAATGAACGTTGAGGTAACACCCTGAGATTTTGGAATTACTGCTCAGAGAAATGACTTATCTAAAGGAAGAACTGAAAACACAGATCATAGGAACGACACCAGCATTTTTCCTCACTGATTTGAAACAGGTCAGGACTTCAAAAAATTCCTGTAAAAACCTGTGCTGTTACAGCTGGCGATTAAAATGTACAATGAATTAGATAATAAGTATTTTGTTTGCTTCTTCTGAAATGTCATTAGCAGTGACGTCGCTCACTGGGCTATTACAGAACTGCTGTTGGCAAAAATTGAAGTGTAACACAGCAAAGCTTCATGTTTCAGATGCTTATAAAATTTAATCCCCTAAATAACACTACTAATTTGGGTCTACTTGTATGGCAGAAGATTGTACATAAATATTTTTAGTATGTACTTAGACCACAACTTTGCTTTTATTGAACTGTTTCTAGCGGGTCTAAGATCTTTGTCACTTCAAAATAAAACACGTTGGTTCCATTAAAGGTATTTAAACATTCAACAGATTTGCAGTTCCTTGCAAACATTTCTTTTCACGCTGATTTTCTAAAACCAGGGACCAAAAGCATGTCGTTCCATCACTGCTACAGAACCCTATGATTCTGTGACTCCCCATTCTACCCGAACTCTCACAGATCATTCTGGAAAAACCATTTCAGTGGTTCTCTGCCCTGCAGACTTTCACTACAGCAGGTGTTGGCTGCAAACTTCGGAGCTTTGTGCTTGGGACACTTTTCCCAGAGGAAATGCAGCCAAGGACCTTGCCCTTTAAGCACACATTAACATCTTAAATACAAAGTTTTTCGGTAGCAAGAAATTCAAAGTGGGAGCTGAAGCTCTGCTGATGAGTACATCTGTGAAACAAGCACGGACTGGAGATTAGAACAGCCAGGAAGAACCATGCCACTAGCACAGAGAAAAGCACAATTTAAATTCAAATGTGTAATCATTAGAAACAGGGCATGTGTATTAGCTGTAAGATTACTCATGTTTCAAAAAACTCCCAGTACATGAAATACAGACACTTAACACAGCCTGGGGTGGAAGAAATCACACTGAAATGTGAAGGCAGAACGCGATACATGTGCCATGAGACATCTGAAAAACAAGTCTGAGTCCGTGATCATTACATGCCAAATACATCTGTGAGCTAAAGGAAGCTGTGCCACACTGGTAGGTTTGGGGAGATGCTTTTTTCATTTCACAGGAGCCTACACACTGGATGCAAAACGTGTACTTGTAAGTATGCATGATGTACATGAAGTATATAAAAGAAGAAAATGGCCTTCATAATTTACCACTAATATGTCAAAGGAAGAACCATCCAACACGAAAATGGAGGAAGCTGCACAACCTACCCGATCTGTTTTTGTGTACGTTCCATGTAAATGGAAACACAAACCTATTAAAAGCAGTTTACTCAGTAATTCAGACTGAGGAATATGCTGAGGGGTACGTCACCCTTACCCTTAAACTGCAGTTTATTAAACATTTCATATCTGATACATGCGAGTAGAGTGGAGAACTAAATGAGAGGATCGCTTTGCTGCTAATCCTAACATTTCAGTTACTGTAAGGTTTTGTCCATTCAACACACCTTACAAATAACAGACAGAACTCTGCTTTCAATTACTGGGGTGCAAACTGACTGAAGTCAGCAGATGTTGCACCTCAGGAGCTGTTAGAAGGACTGGATGCTGAAGAAAAGCCTGGGAGAAAAACTCTGAAGAGAAAGCTTCTGATGAAAAACTGATTTTCCAAATAAAGGGAAATTCTGTGACAAGTGTGTTTCACAGGCAAAAAATGAATTGTTATGAATCAGTTTTCTGTTGAAATCTTGAAACATTTAGTTTTCATTGTCTGAATTTTTTGGAGGAAATAAGTGTAATCATTTGACACGCTGCTGGGAGATAGGGAAGGCAAATGAGAAGAAGGAAATCCACCATCTGTCAGAGAGTTCATTACAAATTATCAGTTCAAAGTTTGAAATGTTCAGTAAGAAGGATGAGATACAGGCAGGTACATGATTTTCAGCACAGCAACACGTGAGTGCAGCATGATGTGGGCATTCAGTGCTGGTGGGTTTGTTCCACAGTCACCAAGCAGAGCGTGTCTGGCAGCAACGCACTACAGAAGTAGTACAGAAGTCAGTGCTTGTTCAGAGAACAACGCACAAGAATAGAGCTCCAAAAACGGGTGGAAATTAAGCCTCCATAAATTTAGCAGTTTCCCAGGGTGTAAATGCAAGCAGGGATTTCAGGAAGCAGAGCGAGTGAAATAAGGCAGGTGCCTGTCCCTGAGCAGAGCAGTCTGGAGGTGGTTAGTACACACCACAAGTGTTTTCAGCCCACTTTGCAGAGCTGGTCCAGGAGGAGCAGCACCGCACCTGGAAAAGGTGAGCGCTTCGGACACCACGGCACAGAACTGCCCTGAAGGTCAGCTTGGTGCTCTGGGCCATAAAGGAGAAATGTGAGGCTGTCTATAAACTTCACTTTCATGGGAAGTCCGGAGAGTCCCATGAAGTTGATAGGACTATTTTGAGGACCAAGAATCACTTGAATCAAATAAAAATTTCAGGGTTAGGCCATAAAGCATGCAAAATATATTGTATCATGAAATATGAGTCAACACCGCAATGATACAGACATTACTCATGTGTATGCTAGACATCTCTGTTACATGAACAAACCCTACCTTCTATTCTTGGGAAAGGTTATTGAAAACAGAACTCCTGCAGAGGATAGTTGGGGCTTGGCTCTGACAGCTCAGCTCCTTTCCACCTCAGAGATCTGCAAAGTTATTTGGGGCAGCTGCTGTTCTGTGACTGGGCTCCCACGTGGACTCACGGCGTGTCGGTGAGATGCACCTCAGCCATTGCAGATGCTATGTGAGGAGGGCAAGCGCTCGGACTGCTCTGGTAGACAGGAGGAAGATGTGACAGAGCCCCAGGCCAGCCAGAAGTCATTGTGTGCAGGGAAATGGTACATTTACAGCTCTACTGGACGAAGTTGGATGCGGAATTAAGAACGCTATGTGGACAACTCGTCCTTGTTAGCTGCGTGTGGAGATTTCTGGGAGAAAAGATTTCTGTTAACTTCTATTCCTCTCATATCCAGAAGACACCAAGAACACAGCCCTGACTTTTCAGGCACTGTGCAGCACGTGTAAAATCCAAGTAGCCACCGCACAAAGCTTGCCTGCTATTTTAAGGCTGGCTACTGAAATAAGTGCGAGTTAGGCAGACTGTGAAAGAGAGGGAGGAAGGGAAGGAAAAGGGCTAAACAGCAGTAGGAAACATGGCTAGAGAGGACTATTTGTACAACTGATGGTTCTGAGCCGTTAGATTACACTGACAGTACATTAATCATATGTTACAGCCATATGCACACATACTGATAAATTTATATTTATGTCTGCCTGTAAATGAACATTAGATGCAAATTATGTAAAATATTGACAATGTTATATCACGTTAATAGGATAAATATATTAAATATTGTGCATATAAAAATATTTTTGCATTACACCATCAGAAGGAATTACAAAAATACGTGTGTGGGAGATGAGCTTATGGCCTACACTAGCTCCAAAGATTGGGCACAAAATCCCAGATTCCCCACAGACTCCTTCTGTAGTTTAGTAAAAGCTTCCCATTGGGTTCAGAGGATAGCTGCTAAGACCTGGATGCTGAAAGTCACTTGGGTCACTCTGCAGTGTACTTGCTCTTGAAAGACCCTCCCTTCACCACACTCACTTTGCCAAAAAAAAAAACAACCAACAACCCTGCAGCCCAGCTCTCTATACTGAATTTAAGAGCCTTGTTTTGGTCTCCTCTGTTTTAGGTGCTGGCTGCCCACGAGCAGCAGCATGTCTCCCACTAACCCAGTCTGTGGCTGTACATGAAAACACCAAATGCTTTTTGCTGCAGGAAGATCTTCCTTACAAAGCCTGGGGAGAAGGAGTAGTTAAAAAGTAATTCTAAACCCCAGATTTTTTTGAGCATGTGTATGTTGTGATTGCTTTGCTCTGGGACTATCTTCTAGTTTCTTCCCTCTTTTGCCATATGCTGCCCTGATGACACCACCTCCGGGAGGGAGTGTTTGGGCAATTTCCCTGACAGTGCTGAAAAGTCCCTTTGCACCCACCTCTCCTGTTCTGCTGCCTCAACTCCTGCACTGCTCTCCACGGATGAATTCCTGCAGCGTTTCGTTTAACCACCTCACATCTCCCTCGTTGGAGGCTTGTGTGCTCAGCTTACATCCAGTCTCATCAGGATGTCTTTTTGATTTAAGCCCTTGTCTTCTCCCTGCTAGGCCTAATACCTCATCTGTTAGCCACTGCTGCCTTTTGCATTGTTTCTTTATCCCCGTCATATTGTGTGCCGTGTCTCGGCTGACATCTTCTCCCTCACACCGCGACTCATTTGGTCCCTTTTTAGTGCTGGCATGCCAACTGCACCTCCAACTGCCTGTTAACTTCTGCTCTGAAGCTGTCACTGATATGCCCTGGGAGAAATCCCTTGCATGGAAATAGCACTGGTTTTTTTTTTCCCCCCATTTGTATTTTTCTGGGACATAAAACGTCCATATCAGAAGATCAGAAGCCAGGAGATAGATAAAGGGCAAGTGGTGATGTTTTACTAGGAATTCACTGACATATGGTCAGAAGTCAGTCAACTCTGCTTAGAGAAGGGAGTATCAGTGCAACTGTCCTCTCACTGATTTAGTCTCCACCTCAAGATGTAATGTGTCCTTTATCTTATTTGCTCTTCCCTTATCTCCTTCTCCCATTTTATATCATATTTAGGAACAGTATTCCTCTGCTTCCCCTTCCATTAGAAAGAATCCCCACAACAGAAGCACCATTGACTGTGCAGAGCAGAGCAGCAGAGAAAGTCGTGTACCTTCACGAATAGCAGCCCTGATCCCACGAGCACTTCTGCATTAACGCCAACGAAACATTCAAGTCCATAAAGCTAAGTCTGTGTGATGACCTCTGGCAGGCCAAAACCTTGGAGCCTACTCGGACATCATGACTGGGTACAGGCACGGATTTGACCCTTCCAATATTCACTGAGCTCTGAAAATAAACTATTTGAGGAGATGCTTTAGAAAGAATTATTCACAAATTCTCTAATAGTTTCTTTACTCTCTCAATAAGCTTGGAATAAAAGCTTCCTGTTACACGGCTCCCTGGTTTGTGATAGTTTCCTAGCAAAAAAAAAGTTTAAACTTAAGGAGAAAGTTTTAAAGAAACATGGGCAGCTGTCACTGTCACATTAATGTCTTTTGGAACAACAGACAGAATTAGACAGACAGATACTAAATGAAAGAAAGATCTAAATAAAGATCAAACCCAACAAAGAAAACATTCCAAGAGTGGTTCTTGAAGACTTTCAAGGGCGTTCGAGTAGCATTTCCCCTACTCAAAAATGCATCAAAAAGCAGAAGTGGATCTTTACAACAGTAGCATGTCCTTACATTTTATAGGCCAAGGTTACTG